ATTCGAGAATTAAATATAAATAAAAAGAGAAATTAAGAAGTAACTCAAAACTTTGTTTATTAAATGAAAGAAATCTGAAATTAGATAAGTAAAAATATAAAAATAGTATTAAAATAGATAAGAAGATAAACTAATAAATATAATCAAAAATCTAACTTTACAGTTAAAGATTTTATTTATTTAATAATAAAATTATATAAAATAAATTATTTAAGTTATAAATTAATAGAGTAGAATATAAGTTCTTTCAGAATTCTAAAAAAAATAAATAATATTTATAAATTAAATATCTTTATAATAATAAAAATTTATTCAATCTTCTTTTTATATAATTTATATAAGAACTTAAAAGACTTTTTATCTGATTAAATTATTAAATTATCAGACTTAATCAAAATAAATATTAAGAATAAATGAGAAATAAAGTATATACTAATCAATTAAATAAGTTAAAATAAATTGTAGTATCAGATGTACTGAAAAAATTTTAATAAAAATTTATTATGATATTTAACTTATAATTTCAAGAAATTATCATATGCAATATATGATTTAGTGAATTATTTATAATTTGAGTAGACTTTGATATCTTCTTTTCTTCATCAAGTTTAGTATTTTATTTTATAATAGTTAATAACACAAAGAGCTTTATTTATATATAACTTATATTCACTATTTAATAATATTTTTATATTATCAAGAATGAAAAATAATAAAGAATAAAATCAACTAATTTTATATTTTAAAAATATTTATAAAATTTATAATATAAGTAAATTTTACTGATTTTTGAATATTTGTATTCTATTATAACTCAATTAAAGTCAGAATAATAACAAAACAATAGCTTTAATTTATCTATCTAATTAAATAGTTGTAAAAAAAATACTAAACTGAGAATTATAATAAAAAATGAATAAATAACTAAATATATAAAGATGATTAAAAATCAAATTAAATCAATCTTTATAGTAATTATAATTAAAGATCAGATTAAATCAATATAAATAATCAAATATAATTAAAATTAAAATAAATTAATCTTTAAAGTATAGCAAATTTAACTAGTTTTTAAAGTATAATAAAGTAAATTAATTTTAATTTATATATAAATAGCTATAATATAATATATTTTTATAGTTATATTAACTTAAAGTTATAAATTTATATCAAAATCTATATTAATAAATTAATTAATATATATAATTTTATATAACTAAATCACTAACTCTATTCTATATTTCTTATAAATTATTTAATAAAATCAAATATAAGTTTAATAATCTCTGAATAAATTTATTATAATTAATATTATATTAATTTTTATATTTACTCAACTGTTATTATATAATCTAATATAATTTATATTATTAATAAATTTATAATATATATATAAAATTTATTAAATTTTCATTTAGTAAAAATAAATTATAAAATTATTTATCTTTAAGATATTTAAAATCTAGTTATTTAATATAATAAATTAATTTAATTTATTATCTTTGATTATAATATTGATATTAATATATTTAAATAATTGAATATGATTATTTCAGTTATTGAAATAGTTAAAATATTAAATAATATTAATTTTATTAATAATAAAAAATACAGATCTATAATTAAATATTTTTTATACTTTATAATAAATTAATAGATTGAAAATTCTTTTATCAGCTAATAATAATAATATTCACTTTAGAAGCTAAACTTCTTAAAATATTATATATAGATTATATAATAATATAATAATAATATTTTTTTTATTTAAATTCAATTTGATTCATAATATAGAATTATATTCTTTATGATAATTATTATATTATACATCTACTTATCTGCTTTGACTTAGAGTTAAATATACATCTTTAATATATTAATATTTATTATCATTGACTTAAAAAAATATAATCAATATGAACTTATTAATATTAAATATATGAGAACTAAAGATATATTAGTAGACAGATTTACAAAGTCATTCAAGTCATAAAAATATATCTCATTTATACATCAATTTAAATTAATAAATATTATTGATTTTATTACTTATTAATAAATATATTTTATAATTAATTTTTTTATTATTTTTCTTACTAACTTGTTTACTTATTTTTTATTTTATGTCTTCAATAAATATGTACATTTTTTATTTATGATCTATTCAGGTAATTTTTCAGCTTCATGTCTAGCAGCACTCAGCTATGAAGATATATCACAAGTATCATATCACTTGTATGTCTTAAATCTTTAACTGCTACAGCTGTATATCTTACTTATAATTAAGTTTATGTACATATACATATATATATTTATATTTCATTTTTTTCTTACTGTTTTTCCTTTTCATCCTCTTGAGCTCATAGTCATTATTATCATATAAATTAGCTAGTCATTACAAATACTACTATCTTATGTCTGCTACGTTCTGACTATTCATCACAGCTGAATCTTGAGGTGATGCCGATCCTGAAGTGCTTTAGTAAGCAGTGTGAGGAGGTGCTGATTCTGAAGTGTTTTAGTAAGCATTGTTAGGACAAAGGAGCTAGTATAGGAGGAAGTCTTGGCATCACACCAGTGGCCTTACACTGTCAAATAATCTGGACATAGCCTGTTCTACGCTGTTACATCAGCAGACAGATTTACAAAATCATTGAAGCTGCAAAAACATGTCTCATTCATGCATCAACTTGACCTGGTGAATGTCACAGGTCTTATCACTCACTAGCAGATCTGTTTTGAAACTAGTTTTAGTTGTTCTTTGCTCACTTGTTTGCTTGATCATTTCATTGTTTTATGCATCCAACAGACACCTGCAATTTGTAAGAGAATTCAACACTTGCATCTCTCATCCATGGTCTATTTGGAAATCTCTTCAGCTTCATGCCTGATGGTGCTTAGCTGGGGGTGTGTGTCACAAGCATCATATTGATCTTAAGCCTCAGATTGCTCATACACCTCGGATTGATCATACGCCTCGGATCGATTGTATGCCTCGGATTCCTGTGGACCGCCACGGCCGTATGCCTCACTTATGATCAAGCTCTCGTACGTCCGCGGACATATATATATTTCATTCTTTTCTCACTGTTTTCTCTCTTCTTCTTTTTCATAGTCATCATATAGATTTAGCTAGTTATTACGAATACTACTATCTTATGCCTGCTACGTTCTGACTCTTCGTCATAATAAGATAGTGGAGAAAACCATTTAAGCATAAAACCTAGCGTTGAAAGTAGGAGACCCGCAGCTTGTGTTAGTTATTTATAGTTATAAGGAAGTATCTTAGCTCTTCGTCTCTTTTCGTTGTTTGCTGGCTAGTTATGACCAAAGCGGATAGTGCTTTGCGGAGTAAGGACTAAGGAGTCCCTTCTCCACGGTCAAGAGGTTAATTTGGTTGGTGTCTTTGTATATGATGTATTGTGTGAATCATCTTCTTACCACCAGGGGCGTTCGGTGACCGAAGTAGCCCGTTTATATGCGGGTCACTTGGAAATGCCAAAAATGCCTCGAGAGATGTTACAACGGGGAGGAAATAACTATTTCGAGAATGTTCTTGATAATAGAACACTGTAGTTGCTTGGCGTTGGATGAAAGTCACGGCTAGTCGACACTTAGCACGGGTTTAGAGCTGGATTTCTTAAAACGGTGTTGGAGAGGGTAAGGAGAGCAAGAACACGCAACCCAGGCCTAGAACTGGACGTGACGGGAGATATTATTTTCATAAAGCTGAGCATACATAATCACATTCAGCGACAGACGGAGTAACAGAGTTCAAAAGTTTGTTTAGGTATATGACATTTATGTGAGGTTTATCACAGATTTATCAGAAGAGTAACAACGTGAGAAAAGAAGGACGGCAACATATCGAAGGGAGTCTGTCATGAACAAATGAGGGGATCATTAATCGGAAATTAGGATAGGTTAAGACAAAGTGTGTTTGAGCAGTAAACGATTAAGGGTCGAGGACGTTGGTCTAGGGGTACGTCTCTCATGTAAGATGGAGAACCGGGTGTTTGAAAGAGAGGAAGTGACTAAAAGGTCACTAAGGAGATGAAGGTAGAGTCATGATTGCAGGTTGGATGGAGTTCTCAAAAAATGAGTGTGTCCTTAGCTTTACCCCATGTTATATTATCGTATCGGCCATCTGGGAGACAAAGAGCCAATAATATAACCCTGACGCAAACCAATTAAAAAATGAAATGAGCAGTAAAGAGCAGCAAAAACATGCTCAAGAACTTCAAAAGGGGAGGGAGAAAAAAAATTCGCCAAGGCATCCCGAGATAAAATGCTAGCCGTTAAGATACCATAGAACCGTGACCGTGAATCGAAACGTTGGATATCACAAAAAATGTATTGCATAATGATGTCATGCTTCATGCCAAAAAAAAAAAAAAAAAAAAAAAAAAAAAAAAAAAAAAAAGGAGGAAAAACTGAAGAAACAGCGAAATCAAGAATGGGCAATGGCTAGTAAGTCTCGCCTACTTCGCTTAGTTTTTTTTTCCTCTCGGGAGGCCCCATATCCCCATCTCGTCGATCGAGCCCGGCGCTAATGCGACGGGGAGCTGGTAACATGGAAGGAGGAGGAGGAGGGTTGGTAATTACTCCCGACTCCCGTTTCTTGAAGCTTGACGGGGTAGGAATTCCAGAAGCCGCATAATCGGCTTTGTCAAATGTGCTGCGCCGTGGGGTGGGGGTTGTAATATCCTCATTCTCATCGATATGAGACATACTCATCGAATGGCTGTAATTGCTCAGGGATGATCTGGGTCGTCGACTTCCCGTCGTTAGATTGCTTGAGTAGTGTCCAAGCGGTGTTCTTGAGCTAGTGAGGCTTTGGCGGCTTTCAGAGCGCGATTGAGGGATTGAGCTTATCGTGGGAGCGGGTAATTGGCTAGTTGAAGTGCGACTGGATATACTCGCTCTGCTGCTGGGCCTGCTACTATCACCCTGGACAGAACGGCATGGACTTCCCTGAAACCCGAGTGAACTCCTACCCTGAGGACCAATGGAGGGTGTCGATTCTCCGTCACGAGAGCTGGCAACGCTTACACCTCCACTTGTTCGTTTCCTGGAGGCTCTTCGGACAGTTACTGAAGACGGGATGTAGTTCTGGCCCAATGCTGAGTTGGGTCCGGGAGACACTCTAGGAGGGGTCTCAAGTGGTGCAGGGAGTCTTGATCTTGCAGATTGTACTCGTTCCTCGAGTTTTTGCATCTTGCCAATGAGTCCTCGGATTTGATACAAAGACCCAGACCGTGGCAGCACTGGGATTTGAGTAAGGCTGGGGCGTGCTATGGAGCCACGAGGCGTGAGAGACGGTGTCGAGGTGCCATTGCTAGTGGGTATGGAAGGGCCCCGGGAATGTCTGGTCCTGGTTGATTGGAATGGAGGTCTCGATTCCGAAATAGAGACTCGTGGTTGTTGGACACTAGGCGTGGGTGTAGCTTTGGGAAGAGTGCATGAGGACTCCGAGAAGGGAGGTGAAGGCGGTGTTTGAGTGTTGGATGCGATGGATGAAACAGATTTCGTTGGCGGAGTGGCAATGGTTGGTGAAGAGGTTGTGGTAGCAGGGGAATGTTCGGAAACATCAGGAGTATGGGGAAGCGGAAGGCCTGGAGTGAGGGATGCAAGGTTATTCCGTTGCTTTAGGAGTAGTTCAGATTTTCGAAGTTTCTCCTGAATGATATGCACTTCGATTTTGAGATCGGACAACTCATCCCGGAGACGTTGATTTTCTATGCGCAAGGACTCTCGTTCCTGCTCTCCGTTTTTTATTTCTTCTTCGAGCAGCACTCCTCGTTCTATGGAGATGTTGTACTTCGATTCCAGATCTTCCAAAGACGAGGTTGTGTTGCGCGCTTGGCGTTCAAAATCGTCGTTTGCAACCTCAATATCCCTGAGTTTTAGCTGCAGGGTTCGATTCCCATCTCGTAACGTTGTAATCTCTCTCTGAAGGGCACTCTGCGCCGAGTTCGCTTCAGTCTTTGCTTGTTTATATTTTGCCTGTATAAATGGTTAGCAACACTGTCAAATGGTTGCGCTCATACAAAAGGATAATCTACTTGCCTTCCACTCTTCTGCTTCATATCCAGCACTTTCTAGTTTCTCTTTCAACTTCCGTTCCCTTTTCTCGGAGGCTTCAATGTCCTTTTCTAGCTCAACCTCAAGCTCTCGACTGGAAGACTGGAAATCTGCCAGTTCAGCCTCCAGCTGTTCGTACTGAGATTTATAATATGCAATAGCATCTTGTGCGGACGTGGAAGAGTTTGGAGGCGAGGACAGGGGCTCATCTGGCAAGGGCATCCTTGTTGCCTAGTGGGTCCCTCGGAAAGGGCGTTGCGCAGAGAAGTAGACAGGAGATGTCGATAATGAAGGTGTAAGATCAGTAGAGAGGCAAGAAGCGTCGCCTTGCCCCTCGGGATCCGATTACAACGTCGCAAGTTTGACTCCTAGCTGAGCCTGACCGGAATGTCCACCGCCAGGGTGAGGGTTTCCCGTTATTTGAAACAAAGGAGTCTGCTGGATGACAGGTACCTCTGGTGGTTGTCGTAACGGAGGCTAGCGATTGACCCAAAAAAAACCTTACTTTGGAGTGGTGTCGTCTACGTCGTTCTTCATCGTTTGTCGTTAGGCCTAAGGTTGTTGATTGTTTGCATCTAATGATTACATAACCGCATCACAATGCACGCTATTCCATAAATAGAAATAGACTACGCTATCAACAAAGTTTCACGCTAGACCATAAGCAGCCAGTGCCAAGGGATTACCTCATCTACATCACATGACCGCCCCCTAAACCCCCAAATCCCACGGTTCAAGGACTCGCGTCGTGCACATATCAGACCCTCCGCAGTTATCCACCAAATCCACGCCGCCACAGACATCGCATCAACAGTAGTCTCCCAGTAAGTCCGCCGCTTAATATTCCACGCTTGTTGTTTCCTGTTCTCTTAGCATTGCTATGTAGTTGCGACGGGAGTTTAGCCCTGCAGCTTCTGAATTGCCGCCCCCTCCCCCCACTTTCTTTCAACTTTACGCTCATGGTTCCCCAGCCTGTGCATTATGTCCACGCACTCTAACCCTCAGGCTTGCTGGTCATCTATATCATTGCTGCCACGCACTTGATTTTTCCCTCTGTAAACCCCCGTTGTTATTACTCTCCTGCTCCGTGAATGTAGCGATGCAAATACTAACGTCGCGTGGACAGCAATTGTCCCGCTGGCTCCGCCAGATCACGAGATCATGGCCGACACATCAGACTTGAATCTTGATGCTCCCAGTGACCTTCAGGATCTTCCTGATCTGTCAATGGAGCTTATCCCGCCTCAGGAGGGAACTTATCCTGATAGAGCTTCTTTGCTTGCCGCTGTGCAGGCGCACGGTAAAGCGCACGGCTATAACATTGTCGTGAAGTCATCCAGTACACCCACGGAGAAGAAACCTGGCAGGGTCGCAAAGGTGTGGCTGAGATGTGATCGTGGCGGCCAGTATAGACCTAGGAATGGGCTCACTGAAGAAACCCGAAAACGGAGACGGACATCTCGGCTTATGGATTGTCCATTTATGCTTGTTGCTGCAGGACATCCGGGTATCTGGACGCTGACAGTTTTAAACCCGACTCATAACCATGGTCCCATAGTGGAAAAGCCTCGCCAGAATCCTCACGCAAAGGCGAAGAAGGGTCAAGTCACGGCAACCCCGTATGATTGGCCTTATGATGCAACATTTACTCCATTTACAACTGCTCTCGTGATTATTGACATGCAGCGTGATTGTATGTTTCATTAGCCTCTTAAGTTTTGCATTGGATAGTGTTCTAACTCTAATATCAAACAGTTTGTTTGCCAGGAGGGTACATGGCGTACCAAGGGTACGATATTACGCCAGCACAGCTTCTTATTCCTAAGCTTCAGCGATTGCTTGATGCCTTCCGCTCAGCTGGGTTCCCTGTGTATCATACACGAGAAGGTATTTTCTTTTTTCTCTGAGGGTTTTTTTTTTTTTTTTTTTTTTTGTGTGTGTGTGTTTTAACAAAAAGGCCGCTTACATTTGTATCCAGGCCACCGCTCTGATCTTTCGAGTGTTTCCAACCGGGAAAGCTTCCGCTCGAAAAATAACCCTTCTGGCATGGGCATAGGTTCAGACGGACCGCTAGGGCGACTTCTTATTCGCGGAGAGCCAGGACACGACATCATTCCAGAACTGTACCCCACCATTGGTGAACCTATCATCGACAAACCAGGCAAGGGAGCCTTCACTTACACAGATTTTGAATTGCTGCTGCGCAATAAGGGGATTAAAAACCTTGTTCTCGCAGGTGTGACCACGGATGTTCGCGTTTTCACCACCATGCGAGAGGCCAACGATAGAGGCTTCGATTGCATCATGCTTGATGATGGCACAGCTGCAGCTGATCCGTCACTCCACATGAGCGCTGTCGACTCTATAAAGATGGAAGGAGGCGTTTTTGGAGCAACCACTAAGTTGGAGGATATGGTTCAGGCCGTTGAGAACTTCAAAGCCATCACGGTGAAAAAACTTGCTCCGCAGATGTCGGCTGTTGCAACTTAACAAAATCAAAAGGAAATAGTTTCGTGGGTAGAGAATTTTGATTTAAAATCTGTGCGACTTTAGCGTGTTTCTGGAAACTGGCGTTATCAGGGCGCTTGTCCCCTCCTTTTGATTTTTCTTTTTCCTGTTGCTCTATAACACAGTATTTGTTAAATACCTTTCGGAACTCTGAGTAGTCTCTGTTGGTATGTTGATGGCCTCCTTTCCGATCCCTTGGTGTTTTCCTGTGCTAGTTCTCAGTCTATATTTGTGTTTGTTATACAAAAGACGTCTCTACCGTCTTCCCTATTATTTTCTCTCCTTTTGTTTTTGGGACCGTACTTACTTTCTTCCACTTCTCGTTTTGGGTCTTTGAACCGGTTTGTTATATACTGTACAAGAGGACTCTTCTTTCAGTCTTTATAAATTATTTTTATTTCATGGGTACGGCAATGTTGATTGTGGCAATGAGGTAGCTGTTCTATCTGACCTTCTTAGCAATCGAAAGCTCGGGTATCATATGACATATAAAATCCCATGCTTCAAACACAATCTACTGCTACCTCGCATCCAAAGGCACATCCAAAACCAACCACGATGATCCATGTTCCCCTTTATTTAAACAGACAGAAGAAAAGGAAACTCCCTAGAATCAAGTCACACTATCTCAAACAAACAGATGGAAACGCTTGCAAAATAAAACACTTAATAAAAAAAACGCCCAGCCCCAACCCAATGCCTAAAACACTACATAGCATTGAAATCCAAAAGTAAAGCAAAATAGGGGAAAAAAAAAAAAAAATCATAACCACTTCCTCCCCGCCGCAGCCACCTTCCCCCTAAAAACCGGACTCGTAATCTCCATCCCTCGTCTATAAAACGGACTCATCACCGCTTTTACCCAATTCTCGTACACCTCATTCATGAACTGACGGATAGCCTCTTCCGTCTGTGGCGATGTCGGGTTATTTGCTATCGATGACGAGGTGGCGCGGGATGATGTTGTAGGTGTTGCGGAGGCTGACAGGGGACTGGATGTGCTTCCCGGTCCAGTAGCGGAGGAGGCCTGGGGAGGCTGGTGGAGGAGGAGGAAGCGGGCGCCTGAGCCGGTGAGGAAGGCGGAAATGTATGCTGAGGTTGGGGAGTAGGTGTCTATGTGTTTTAGGTACCTGTAATGCAGGGGTTAGTTTGTGTATATAGAAGACAGTATTAGCAAAAGTAGAGATGTAGGTTGATGGAGATGTGTGATTGAGATGAGCGATTGGACAGTGACAGGCTGTGATGGAATAGTACATACATGGCGCCGTTCGACCATTGTAGTTCCTCGACTATATCTAGACTGGCGTGAACGATGAATTGGTTCATGTACGGTGCATTGTCTGGGAAGTAGAAGCGGGCAACGCCATCTCCGCCCGCCTTGGAGGTGCCGAAGGAATGGCTGAAGAGCGGGACATCGGTTGGGGAGAGAATTGTGAAGTAATATGACATCCCCTTAGTTTTTCTTTTAGCTTAGTTTTACAGTAAGTGTGTGTTTGGCGCATGGAATATTTATCCGTTTTAGGTTGGAAGCTTGCTTCTACTTCAAAGTACGAACAGCAAATAGTTACGCGGAATAACTAACTTGAACAATTTGTCCTTCGGCAGGCGAAGAGGCAAGTCATGTGATAAATATGGAGATAGCTCCAAGGGTCATTATTTTCAGCGGGATCCCTCCGACATACGATAAACAAGTCTGTATCAAGGCCTGAGGATTAATATATTTATCATCCCATTGACCGATGGTTTTTGACACTATAATACCTGCTTAATCGCACGTCCACCGGATTATTCTTATAATGTCCCATCCAACCCTCTCTTATGGCCTGAACCTCCCCGGCAAGAAACCTCAACCTGTCTCCCTCCCCAAGGCCAACCCGGTCAACCCGCAAAAGCGCAAAAAGACAATATTCGATTCAGACTCCGAAGGCGACGATGGATCAAAAGAAATCAACGGCTCCGTCGAAATCACCACCATAGGTGACCTGAACGATGACAACAATTACCCCAGCGATGAGCCCCATTCCAAAAGACCCGCCAACTCCAAAAGAAAATCCCCCGCTCCCCAAACACACAACTACACAAACATCTCCAGCCTCCACAGCAGTAAAAAACATGCCCAAACCGCCGAATCCCTCGACTCAACAATCTACGACTACGATGCAGTCTACGACTCCTTCCACGCCAAAAAGCTTTCGACAACCTCTTCCTCATCTGCACAAGCAGTCTCCACACCCAAATACATGACCGCCCTCATCCGCAGCGCAGAGATCCGTAAGCGTGACCAGCTGCGCGCACGAGATAAACAACTCCAGCGCGAACGGGAAGCTGAAGGCGATGAGTATGCTGGTAAGGAGAAGTTTGTGACGGCGGCGTATAAGGCACAGCAGGAGGAGGCGAGGCGGATCGAGGCTGAGGAGGCAGAGAGGGAGAGGGAAGAGCAAGAGAGGAGGAGGAAAGGGGTGGGGATGGTGGGGGTTTATAAGAATATGCTTGAGCGGGACGAGAAAAGGCATGAGGAAATGGTTAGGTGGGCAGCAGAAGCGGCTGCAACTGCAGCGTCTGGGGAGAAGGAGATGGAGAAGGAAGTAGATGAGGAAGAGAAGACTGATTCGCAGATTGCAGCGGAACTGAATGCCCGGGGCGCGAATATTATTCTTAACGATGATGGGCAGATTGTGGATAAGCGGGAGCTACTTACGGCTGGATTGAATGTT